CAGGGGAAACACACACTCTGGTTTCTCAGTGTGCTTCCCAGTGCCGGTTTGAAGTACCTTCAGTTTTCACTGTAAACCCAACTTGGAACTTGTCCCTCAACATATATATGAATGGATTGGAGTATGCAACTGAAGAGAAACTTTGTGTACAAACCAAGCTAGATGAAGGGCGGCTTTCACACACGATTACTTCTCAGAACTGGGCATGTGGAGAACGTTCATTCATCTAGCACAAAGGGAATGTGTTGCAGGGGAAATATTTACTCTTGGATCTCAGTGTGTTTCCTAATGCAGATTAGAAGATTCTGCATTTTTCACTGTAAAACCTATTTGGAGCATGTACCTCCCCATATATATGTATGGAGTGGATGTTGCAACTGAAGAATACCTTTGTGCTCCCAACAAGCTAGGTGAAGGGAGGCTTTCTACACGCTTAACTCTTAGAACTGAGCATGTGTAGAGACGTTCATTCATCTAGCACAAAGGGAACGCATTGCAGGAGAAACACTCACTCTGGTTTCTCAGTGTGTTTCCTAGTGTCGGTTTGAAGTTCTTGCAGTTTCCACTGTAAAACCGACTTGGAGATTGTACCTCCCCATATATATGTATGGAGTGGAGTTTGCAACTGAAGAGAAACTTTGTGTTCCCACAAGGTACGTGAAGGACGGCTTTCACAAACGCTTTACTCTCAGAACGGATAATGTGGAGAACGTTCGTTCATCTAGCACAAAGGGAACCTTTTGCAGGAGAAACAATCACTCTGTTTTCCCCGTGTGTTTCCTAGTGCCAGTTTGAATTACTGCAGTTTTCACAGTAAAACAGACTTGGAGCTTGAACCTCCCCATATATATGTATGGATTGGAGTTTGCAACTGAAGAGAAACTTTGTGTTCCCAACAAGCTAGGTAAAGAACGGCTTTAACACACGCTTATCTCTCAGAAATGAGCATGTGGAGAGACGTTCGTTCATCTAGCACAAAGGAAACGGGTTGCAGGCAAAACACTCACACA